TCTATCTATCTATCTATCTATCTATCTATCTATCTATCTATCTATCTATCTATCTATCTATCTATGATATATTTGAAATGTGCAGAATTTACCACTCTAGGGACAGAACTTTCTGGAAAACACTGGAAAATCCAGCCATTTACAGGTGGCCCACTAGTTTTCTTAAAAAAAAATTCTGGAGTGAGAAATGACACATTATACTCTGGTCCCTGAAATTATATTTACAGCTAAAAAGATGTCATTATTTCCCTTTATAGTCAGTGTTTGGGAATATAATTTGGAATGTACTGAACCATTCCCCAGGATATCGTAAATGTTACAAAATAATTTGAGTACAATATTCATGTTTGCTTAATTGAATGTCTAAAACAGTTATATGCTTCATTTTATTATATAGAAATATATTTCAAAATGGAAAACTTAAACGTATCTGATTACAATCATTGTTATTCACATATAGGTACGCAAGGAATATGGCAAGTGCTTCAGACATTCATATTGCTGTGGTGGGTTACCCACAGAGAGCCCACACAGTTCAGTAAAAGCATCAACAACACGAACAAGTGCCCGCTATTCCTCTGGCACTCAGGTAACAAACATTTTGACAGTACTTCTAATGACAGCATCTTTTAATTAATCTTGGTTATCAAATAGCCCATTGAGATATGTTCTGTTTAAATGCACTAATTGTATTCTCATTATAATAGCCCTGTTGACAGTCTTTTGATGCATTCACACACATATACACACATACACAATGTATGTCAATTCAAAACATTCTGAAACTTTGTGGAGGTAGTTTAAAATTCTTTAGTGATTAATAGGAATAGGACCCTCCAGACATACTTAAATAATCATTCACTGTTTAGAAAATGACTGAATGCAACTTTATAAAATAAAAGTTTCAGAAGACAAATCAGATACTAAACTGAAATATGTTGCTTGTAAAGAAAACTTCCAAAAGTAATTCCTGATGGATTTTTAAATAACTATTTCAAAAACATTTTTGTGTGTAAAATAAAAGTATTATTAGCAAAATTTCCTGGAAAATCACTTGCATGAACTGCTGCATATTCCTTATTACCTGCACTTTGGGTTATATGCAGTTGCCAAATGCAAACAAGACCTCACTGTTTGAAGTAATGATTGTCATGCATTTGTGAGGTTTGACTTCTGATTATGTTTGAAGAAGGTGTTTGGAGTGTGTTTGTGGATTTAATGCATAAGCAAAATGGTAGACAACCTTTTGCACAAGCATAAAATCAATTTTTCCAGGAGCTTTTTATCCACCTTTAAAAATAAATAAAAAATCTGGTTGTTGTATTGAAATAGAACCCAATGACCCGAAGGGCATCTATTACTAGTGATACATTTCTATTTAAATACAATTATGTCTATTGGTAAGGCCCTCATGTTTATATTACATTGTGGTTTTCCCCAGATTTTTATGATGTTACATTTTTTCCAGGTAGATGAAAAGAACTGAGAATGGGACTAGGCCACTGCATTTAATCTGTCTGTATGTGTCTATGTCTGTGTGTATGGTGTGTGTTTCTATATCCAATTTCCTTTCCTTCTAAAATTACTGATGAATTATAACTTCCTCATATAAAACATAACTGAAGCTTCACAAACATTTAACTCCTTAACTTTCCTTCATACTAGAGCTCAGGTGCTCTGGAAATATTGGGAAGTAATCATGACATAAATTAGAAAATATTTAATAAAATACATAAATTACATAAACATGTCAGACCTCAATATTTTAACATTTTTTAATTCCGCCTTTATTATTTTCATACATAACTTAAGGCAGCAAACATTCCTAATACTCCCTTCTCCTATCCTGCCCACAACAACCCTGTGAGGTGATTAGTGGAACTTGACTGGACCACAACTTTGTTTATACTTCCCTTAGCATCACTTGGTCAAGAAAATAAAATGCCACAGCACTGCCTGAAAGTGCCTAAAATCAAAACTTCAAGAGCGAATTTGAAGCCAAGCACATGACAACATATCCGGTATAACTACTTACTCTTTTTCAGTAGCCTGATTTTAATAATATGCACACTTGCTACGCAAAAGAAAATTAACAGCGTAGTCTGAAACACATTGATGTGGAAGTGAATACTATTGTGTTTAAGAAAAGGGCTTAAATAAGAGATCACATGAGATGATTGGGGACTAAGTAATAAAGTAGCAGTAGTCTTCTGGAGCCGTTTGAGATGTGACAGTTCCACCTGATTTTCTTTACATTTAACAGAGCCGAATAAGAAGAATGTGGAATGATACTGTGAGAAAGCAATCTGAATCTTCCTTTATCTCAGGTGATATCAATAGCACTTCAACCCTTAATCAAGGTCAGTTATTTGATAGATTTCACTCTACTTTTTTTAATTAATGGTATTTCTTAAATAAAAATGTTAAGGTATTAGATTGCGGTAATTAAACCAAATAAACAGATGTGCTCTGGGAAGTTACTATAGGCTAAAGATCTCAGCATTTGAGTGAAAACAGACACATATGCAGAAGACTGTTTTAAAAAAACTGTAACTCAGAGACTATTTGTCTTGAATATATTTAAAACTCAGCTCCTCCATCTCTTTACTTAGGATGAAAGTTGACATTCGCATTCATGGAAAGCGTATTTAAATAAGTCTCATCAATAATTTAACTTAAAAGCAAGAATATAATTTTAAAACTTTGCTAACCTATATATTCTAAAACTGAAACAGAACTACCAGCACAGTAAAATTTTAAATGCATTAGATTACCATACACAGTTTGCCTGTAAAATCAAATTAGCATTAGCTTGCTATGAAAGGCATCTGAAAATTCATTTTCCTTCCAAGATAGTTCTGATCATGTTTAGAATGTGGAGCATTTCTCTGCCACATGACAGTTTCGGGGAAGGAGAGAAAACCCTAGCTTACTTTTTAGATATTGGGTTAACCCTTTATGATTTTAACTCAGATTTAATATTTATATGCTTTCAATCCTGTTCACATAGACATAACAGCACTAAACAATACTAAAGTCCCATCTGGAAATAGCCACAATTGAATTTTATTCAAGCACAGTGTTTTGCTGTGAACTTAAGGCTTTAAAATATTCGTTCAAAATTGGCAAGATCACTTCCTTAAAATCCAGTGAGAGGAGAAGAGGAGCCTTCCTGTCAATTGAACTTTCAGAAAAGCACTGGATCGCTTTTAGTGCCCAGGTCTAATTTGCCATGACAGCAATTGGGTGATCATTATTATGCACTTCGGTTTTACAAAATAAATGCATGAATGTGGTCAGCATTACAGGAACATTGCATAGTAAATAGCAATAGCATTTAGGCTTATATACCGCTTCATGGTGCTTTAAGCCATCTCTAAGTGGTTTACAGAGTCAGCATATTGCCCACAGCAATCAGGGTCTTCATTTTACCAACCTCAAAAGGATAGAAAGCTGAGTCAACTTTGAGCCAGTAAGACTTGAATTGCCAAACTGCTGGCAGTTGGCAATCAGCAGAATTACCCTGCAATACTGCATTCTGACCACTACACCACAGCTCTTGTGTGCTTCTTAATCACTTCATCAGGAAAATAGAATGACTATTTCAAGCTAAGTATCTAGTCCCAAAGAAATCACAAGCTGGGTTGGTTTAAAAAGTTGGCATTTGCTTGTAGATTCTTTCAGCCCAAAAGAGGATTCTTCTGCAAAAGAGGATCATTCATACTTTGATTCAGCAAGAGTTGGTTTCCATAACAACATCCTCCATACTTGCAAATGTTTCCTTATTGTCTTGAGAGAGATTTGAATACACAAAGCAAATATTTTTAGATAGCTATTCCTTGATGGAATGATTAAGAAGCACAAGTTTCTTCTTGAGAAAGAAAGAGAAGGAAATGAGGATGTGCATCATAACATAAAGTAAACCGCATCATGACATCATTAAATAATTGCACATCAAGAAGTCATGATGCACATGTCATCATTTTGCCATCATTGTGCCTTACTTTAGATGCCCACATTAATTATTGTAGCTGCAAAACACAAACAGATGATCATTGCAATGAACATTGTTTGTATATCTATATTTAAAAGAAAAGATAATAAAAGCTATTTCTGAATTTTTCTAGAATAATGTGCAAAGTACAATCTGGTTTAATAAGCTACCCAATGTTCATCAATTTTGTGTACAGTTAAAAACCTAACTCCTGAGTTCAAACTTGTGTGAGGTACTTGTATATCCTACAAGGGATTTCTAGTTCCTTGCAGCTTAATACATCGTTGTTTGCCCTTGCTGTAATGTCTCTATTATCCTTGGTAGGAAATATGAGTCTCCCTTCACCAGAGGCAATGCTCTATGTTTTTCTAGTCTAATTGTAACGTGGTGCCAAGCAATTATGTGCAAAATGGAAGTGATATTTCTTTGCAACATTTTGTTTACCCTCCCCAGAACTGGTCAATCTGAGCATTCTAAAAGTGGTTCATATATTTCTGCAAGCATATCTTCCAGAACAAGAAGTAGTTAATGGAGTTCTGGATGTGATCCAGCCCCCAAATGAGCCAAACTGAACATTTTAGGGAAAGTGAAATGTTCCAGTGATGAACTGATCCTTTATGCATAGCTGTAATACCAAGCAACTCAACATGTATAAATTTCAGGAATTTACCACTGGTTTTTTGGCATAATAAACACTGCAATATTTTTTCCCGTCTGATCTCAACCCAATCATTGTCTAAAGCTCCCTTCCATTCTCTGCAAAGGATATGTTATTTTAAGTTTAGACTTTACATTATTTGTTGGCTTCCCTTCCTTGCTACAGAAGTGAACTGGAATGGAAGGGGGGAGGAAAAACTCTATATCAGGGTTGTCAAAACTCGCATCATCACATGACATATTGTGATTTTTTCCCCCCTTTGCCAAACTGAGAATGGGCATGGCCAGTTCATGACACATCCAACCCATAGGCCGCGGGTTTGACACCCCTGTTCTATATTAAAAGGCAAGCTGTAGAACAGGAGAATATGAAGGAGTCAGAGATTCTTATCAGATTGATCTTTCTCCCTACAAGAAACTTTGTAAAGTGAAGTGATTTGTTTTCAACTGAATGTATTACAGGTAGTCCTCAATTTATGACCAATTGAACCTGGAATTACAGTGGCAAGCCATTGAAATTGTTAAGCAGGTCACCATGGTCTGGATCCGATTTACCTTCTTCATTTATTTATTCAATTTCCATTTTTGAAGCAGTCATTAAGCAATTGTGCTGGTAATTAAGCAGAGCCATTTTATCCAATGGACATTTTGCAAAAGCCTATACAATAAGCCTTTTATATACAAGTCCATTATAAGTTTGAACAATTGTTAAGCCTATTCTTAAATTGAGGACTACCTGCAATGCTTCTTTTCTATAAAAGGAAAAAATACCTAATTAGATTAACTAATCTGCAATTCATAATTGTGGTTCGCCCAACCTATGATGTTTGGTACACTAACTCAACCATTTCATTCATAAACCATGGTTTGATGCACTAGTTTAATTCAGATTTATTCATCTTACCATGGTTAAAACAAGCTATGGCTTAGTATGCAAGTTCAATAGTAATTTGGCTTCAATTTTTGCACCTCTGATGTTACCGAATTAGTTGGGCACAGTTTCAGAGATAATGCAAATCTGAAGTCTGCATTATACTCTGAGAATATCCCTATGAAATAGATCCCATAACATTAAGAAGAATAAGGGCCAGATTCTTAGTTTACAATGAAAAAAGAGTCATACTCAGAATTAGGGTATTAATGTTCAACTGTATCTGGTGAGTATACTGGAAATAATATGTCTAAGCTGGTAGCAAAGAACTATAGCCAATTATGTAATTCAACTGGAACCCTACTGCATAGTTATTATAATAGCAATTTTATGATATGTAGTATAGTGACAAAAGGATTTGGATTGCCTTTGCTAATATTTAGAATAAGCCTCAAACAGTGGAGGGGAAAAAATCAAATAAATTAAATCAAATTGCAAATAAGATTAACGTAAGCTGACAGTACAGCAATTCCCAAAACTCCAGGATTTTTGCTACCTAGAGTAATAATATTTTTAGTAGTGATAAGAGCATTAATATTTAAAATGTAATATCTTCTGCTATTGCCACAATGAGAACCTAATCAATTTAAATTTTGTATATGCATTGTTGGGCTGCTCTGTGTCTCATCTTGGGCCTGTCATACAATGCCCGGCTACATACTTTCAGACTGCTCAGTTGAAAGGCCCTTTCAACCTAATTTTATTTGCATGTCCACAAAGCGGTGGAGTCTTTGTATCTGTTCTGACAACAATATTAATGTAACAGACCCAAAATCAGTGTGATGTTTCACATGCTGAGTTCATACCAAGTAATGCTATGTGTGTGGCTGCTTCATTAGAAGCTTATTGAAAAGTGTTGATGCATTAGGACTGAAATTGCAGAAAGAGCTTTTGTATGAGCTTTCATTGTGTTGATTTAAGATTCTTTTTACTGAGGGAGCAGATATAACTTGAAAGATAATTGACTTTACAAATCCTCATCAATAGTGCAGCATGAAACCCATTTGACATGTAAAATATATATGAATGGTTTACCTTTGACCTCTCCTTCGGCATGTGTTCCTTGCATAGAATGGAATAGGCATCTTGCAGCTTGCCGTTGCTTACCTTAACTTTGTTTTAAACTATGCTAGTGATAAACCTTGGCTGTTGCTAGGGGAGAATTGCCTATTGCTCTCAATTAACAAATTTTTGATGTATCCAGTCTGGTGCCTATCCACAGTGAAAGTTACAGGCATGAAGTTGTAACTTCTTGAAACAAAACATTGGTCTCTGTATTTAATTGCTATTGGAGTGTTAACAGCAATTTTGTATAAATTAGCAAATGTCATTTCGCAGCAAGTGCTTACTTTGGGGATTTGGCCAGCACCTGTGAATTACCAAAACCTAACTATATTTTCATTCTCTTCCTTCAAATTAATAGTTCAAATATAGTCAGAAATGTTCAGCTGAATTAAATTTGATGGGATATACATGACTTATGATGATTATTTTTTTAAAAAAAAATGCACATTATGGAACTGTCAGCCTGAAATGAAAGAGCTGATGTCTCTCTTTCTGTTTCCTTTGCTTTAGGAGTGACTGGCAATTACCTACTAACAAACCCTCTTCTTCGACCGCACGGCACTAACAATCCTTATAACACATTGCTCGCTGAAACCGTTGTATGTAATGCCCCTTCAGCTCCTGTGTTTAACTCACCAGGTGTGCCCACACTTTGGGATATGTTGATTTTGTTTTTTTTAAAAAATTATGCTTTGCTCCAAGCCTTTTCTTTTAAAATAGTTGGAGCTATAGTTTCCTTTCGAATTATTCTCCTTCCAATGCTACTGATAATGCCAGACTTGTAAAACTGCACTATATTATAGTGTTAATCCTTTGCCATAGTAGTATTTGCCAATAATCCTCCATGTTTTTAACACAGGTGGCATAAATCTTAATATACTATTGCAGGACTGACACCCCATGCTCCGAGAGCCCATCTTCAAGATATATATCACTTAGAGGTATCACATCTATGAAATATAAATTTGAATCAAAACCTTGCTGAGAACATCTGCTTATGGAGTTGATTAGACCATTAAACTCACACAAAGGCATCCTGACATGTGCACTGTCGTGCTGTGGAAAACTGCATCCGGAGTCACATTTCGAGGCCAACTATAGTATAGTGCAGCTTTATAGGAGCACTTTGATTTGCTGTGTTGTGTTTTGCTTTGTTTCCTGAAGAAAGTCATCAGATGGTGGCTAGTCTTAGAAAAGCAGAATTTGGAGGAATATACAGCCTGATTGCTGAATCTAATCTCAGATGTTTGGGACAGGGTGTATCTTTTGTCCTCTGAGCATTTGTTAGCTAACTTGACATTGCTCTGATCAGTTGTAGGGATATTAATTCACTATAAAAAGCCAGAAGAATCAGGATTCAGAGTGTTAGTCTTAACCATACCTTTGTTATACTGTACCAGCCAATAGGTATTTTTTTAAGTAATGAGTCCTTTAAAAATAAAATAATGCACCTTTATTAATTATTAGTTTCATAAGTAGTTTTTAATGTAAATTGAAATCCTGTCTTAAACATTTTATAACATGTTTTTTTATTTAAAAAAACTAAACCTGTATAAACCTGTTATGTCAATTTTCCTTACTTTTAAAGTGAACTGCAGTTTCTGTGTTCATTCTCGTGTTTTCTTACTTTCCTTATGCTCTCCTCTAGCAACCTACAGAGAGACAAGTATGGGAGTAAAACTTAACTTTGCCTATCAAATGTAAATTTTTTCAGCATGATTTTTAATGGGCACAATTAAAACATAACTAGCGGTCATGAAGTAGACTCAGCGGGCAAGTGGTTCACAATTTCCAAATTAATTATTTCCACACTCAACAGTACATGAGTACTGCTTTTTGGATGAACCCAAAAAAAGTCACTAGGTCTGTAGCAAGCCCTATTGGTAACTGATGATATCCAATGCTGAAATAATTTGCTGCTTAAAACCAGAGCACTGTTGAGCAAAATGCTTAATAATTGACATAATATTTTGTACATTCCCACAGTAATCTTGCTACAGGCTAAGAAAGACTTCAAGTGAATTACCTGAATCATGGGCATCTAAACTTGCCTCTCTAAAACTGGCTTAAGTGCATTGGAGTGTGCTTAACTCTGCAGTATATCACAGAAAATTCTTTTAAGGATTATTAAATATGCTTCAATATTTATTTAATAGAGTATGAAGAATTAGATTATTAAAAGAGAGAGAGAGAGATAGAAAATGCCTTTATAGAGGAAATTAATATCGGCATATGGCCCATGCATTGGTTTTCTCTTATGAATGCCATATGTTCCACATGCTTTTGCAAAAAGAAAAAAAAATCCCAAAACATATATGAAATTATCCCACCTACCAAACTTGTTTAATCAAAGCCTACAGCTTTTCAAAGACTTGTAACCTTTTATACTAATTCAGCACACATGAATGGCAAAAACAATGCAATGTAAGATTAGCTGCAGCTTTTTATTCCTCAATTAGTATTCCATAACCAAAGGGAGAGAAAAAAATCCCCGAGGCATCAACCCAGTGTTTCTATCTGTTATAGAGGCAACTTTGAATTTTCTTTGGTTAAGCTGCAGCTTTAAGCACTGGCTGAAAATAAACCTGAAAACATTTCTAGATGCACACACAGCCTTTTTATTTCTCTGTAACTACTCCAAGCCTTGCATATAATGCAGCAGCTTCACAGTGGTCAGTTTCATTCAGACAACAGTACTTCATTCTTCCTTAAAAGTTCCAGACACTGCTCTAGAACAATAAAAGCAATTCTTCCAACAGCTCACTAACAAATCATCTAACTTTCCATGATCCATACCATTCAGTTTCTTTTAAGAACTTTCTTTTATCTCCTTTGTTTGGGAAGCACTGTGATGTCTTAGTTTACATGTCTTTGTGTCTCTAGAAAAATGAATTTATTTATTTACCTCAGCAAAAGAACATTTCACCATAAAATTCCTATCTCTCTCCCCCTCCTCCTCTGTCTCTCTCTTCCTAAACTTTGTGTCATCTTTCCAGCAGATGTATCCAATTTCTCCATTTCTTCAGCAGTTGAAAGTTATCGGTTCTGACTGATAATCTCCCATTCCACAGCTAATATTTCTTCTTTGGTTAATTTGTTTGTGACCCATGCTTAGAGAAATCCCTAACATTTCTGCTTTTGATTTCCATATGCCCATGGTGTCTGTGGGCTTAACTCTGAATAGACTTACACTCTGGTTCATACGGTTCTGTCACTGTGACTGATGCAAACTGCAGGGCTGCAGGTAAAATTTGACATTCTGAAGCCTGGGGCTGTTCCTGGCAGAGAGAATATGAAATGCAACCCTTTCCCCTCCCCCCCAAAAAAGCACATTAAAGTGGGAAAAAAGCTGTTATTGCAAGTAATCTAATTTGCTGAACCCTTGCTCTGACTAAGTTGCTGAGACGCTCAGTAATTCTTCATCTTGTTACAATAAATCATTTTACTTTCTTTTATATATCAGCTACTCTTAGGCCAGATAGCCTGAGCAGACAGACATGATGTGAGTTGTCCAAAGTGAGTCATTCCACCTGCTGTCTTTCCTGTGTTGGATGGTGCTTGTGGGCCTCAGTCCCTTTCAGTGTGAGAGATGGCTGTCTGTGCTTAACATGAAGTCTTTGTATTTGTCCATTTTTTGGTCATTCTTTTGTTTCTTCCATCTTCAGCTAAAGAAACACACAGACACAAGGAAATGTTAGAAATGTTATATTAAAGTATCTGCTTGCTAAATATGTGAATACTTACTGTTATGCATTTACCTTCTGTTTTGTACGTGACCTGATTCCCCTTCCTTCCTTCTCTACCTCCCTCCCTCCCTTTTATTTATTTATTTATTTTTAATTTAGTGTTGTTTAGGACAAATTCTGTTGATTTTATTTACCCTGTTGTACTTATGCACTAAATGTTTTATGAATGAATTGCTTCGCATTCATATGCAAGGACATGGAGTCACTTTCTTCTTCCTTGCAGGAAGAATTGTAGAACTGAATCCTAAATTGCTACATCCAGAACCTGTTAACATTTGTTTTAAAATTTCTGATTGAAAATATCATTGAAGCTCCAAGGAAAAATAACATTACCTTGTAAAGTTCTCTCTCTCTTCTATATGGTGTGTAGCTATTTTACCCTTGGGAGACGTGTCCCAAGTCTTACTTCCAAGTACAACTTTGTCCTGAACGACATTAAAATTTTTCTTAGAATAAGAATGTTAGCTTCAGGGTAAGCAGTAACCCATGGGTGTCCCTTTTCTGTTGCAGGACATTCACTGAACAATGCCAGGGATACAAGTGCCATGGATACTCTACCGCTAAATGGTAATTTCAACAACAGCTACTCTTTGCGCAATGGAGACTATAATGACAGTGTGCAAGTTGTAGACTGTGGACTAAGCCTGAATGATGCCGCATTTGAAAAAATGATCATTTCAGAATTGGTGCACAACAACCTGCGGGGTAGCCACAAGAACCATAACCTGGAGCGCACGTTACCAATCAAAGCTGTGATCGGTGGGAGCAGTAGTGAAGACGACGCCATTGTTGCTGATGCTTCGTCTTTAATGCACAGTGATAACACGGGCCTGGAGCTGCACCAAAAGGAACTTGAGGCCCCATTGATTCCTCAACGGACTCACTCTCTTCTGTACCAACCACAGAAGAAAGTGAAGATAGAAGGAACTGATAGTTACGTGTCACAGTTGACAGCTGAAGTGGAAGACCACCTCCAATCACCCAACAGAGACTCGCTTTACACAAGTATGCCCAACCTCAGAGACTCTCCGTACCTTGAGAGCAGTCCTGATATCGAGGAAGATCTCTCTCCCTCCCGGAGAAGCGAAAATGAGGACATTTACTACAAAAGTATGCCAAACCTTGGAGCTGGCCATCCGCTTCAGATGTACTATCAAATCAGCAGAGGGAACAGTGATGGCTATATAATTCCCATTAACAAGGAAGGATGTATTCCAGAAGGGGATGTTAGGGAAGGACAAATGCAGCTAGTGACAAGCCTTTAATAGAGTAGCAAAGGAATCCTGAAGGCCACATGCAAGTATTAAACAGACAGACTTAATTGGCTCCATGCAGACCCCCTCATATCTGCTTGAAGTGACTATTCTCTTGTCCCTGTGGTTTCTCCCATGTAAAGGAGTTGACTGGACCTTTCAGTTCTGTGAATTTTTATAAAACAAAAAAAAAAAGCTTTGTATATACACAGAGTATACTAAAAGAATTATTTGTTACAAAGAAAAAAAAAAGAGAGAGAAAGATACCATCAAGGTATTTTAAGATATCTTGCTGCTGACATTTAAAAAAAAAGATTGTGAAATAAACACACACATACATACATGCAAAGTGTTCCAGCCATTTTACAGCAGCAGTTTGGGAACTAAATTTGTAAATATGGCTGCATCATTTTTGTATGCCTGCATTGTATTATATACAAGAGGTAGGCACTAAAATCCTGTGGGACAAATTTATTGTACCTTACTATTCCTGACTAGACTTGCAAAAGCAGGAGAGAGATTCTGCACCAGTATGCTGTTCATGGCAAATCTTTCCCACTAAGGCAAGGGTTGAAAACATGTCTAACCACTAGCAATCAAGCCACAGGCCTTATTTCATATATTTCTTCAACTGTACAATGTTCTCATGAAAAAAAAATGGCTAAAGAAATTATATTTTGTTCTATTGCTAGGGTAAAATAAATAAATACCTTTGTGTCCAAACAGAAATATAATTGTCATTAAAATAATTTTAAAGGATTTGAAGAAAATATTGTGAAACGCTCTTGGTTGCACATATGCTACAAGCTGTTTCTTCTTACACTTGGTTCCGTAGTACCGTAATATGTTTAAAATGCAAACTCTACCCATTTTCTTCTTCTTTTTCACTGTAAACAGTATTCTGCTTTGACATGACTATTCTTATGGCTTAAACTTGATATTGCCAAAAGAACATATTTTATGGAAAGAATTCTCTTAGTTGCCAATTATGCCAGGCCTTGCACAAATTTGGTTAAAAAAGAAGAACAATCACCCACTAGCTATAGATTCAGTTCCCTTTTGTTCTTTTCTTTAGAGAAGGAGGAGGGAAGGTGGACTAGTGAATGGAAGGTGCCTACCCCTTTTAAGCTAAGAGAAAACATAAATATTACTCTTCCATATTCCTTCTGCCTATATTTAGTAATTAATTTATTTTATGATAAAAGAGCTAATTAAATGTACATTGTTTCAGGTTTTTCTTTTTTTGCTCTTTTCACCCAAATCCCTTTGTGTAAACCTGTTAATAATGAGCCCATCACTAATATCCAATGTAAAGTTTAACACCTGTTTGACAGTAAATAAATGTGAATTTTTTTTCCAAATAGGTAAAAATGCGCTTTCTTGCATTATGGGTCATAAGCTCGATTATTGATTTTGTGAGCTGGTTAAATTCTGCTTTTAAGGATCACTCCTTTTACAGTTTTCAGACTATGGGAAGAGGTTTGAAGGAGGGGTCAGTTCTGTGCCGCAACTTTATTGTCACATGTCATCAAGAGGAAAAGCAGGAGATTGGATTAAAAAGTTAGTGGCATACTTCCCCTTTTATATAAGAGATTTTTTTTAAAAAAAATCTATACAATCTTATTTATTAAAAGAAAAATTGTACAGTCATGTTTCAAGCAACTGTAATGCTAAATCTCCAATTAGAGATAAATATAATCTCTTGTTCCCGAGAACAAAAATAAAATACATAGTTTCATTTGTTAAAATTCAATGAATATTCAAGCCCTTGCAAAAACGGTAAAATCCCAGCATTTTTGTGATATGCAAATTAACCTGACTGTTATTACTACTATTAGCAAAGTGGGAATCAAGGCAGGAAGTTGATACAATGCCCAGAGCTTTATAATGTGTCAACAGCAAGAGATTTAAATTTCACTAAACTTATTTGTTTATTCCTCAACGTTGAATTGTCATAAAGCGCTCTAAATTCCAATTTTCATTCGCAGTAACTCAGATTTAAGTCATGTACTGATTTTTCATTCTTATTGCTAATTTGTTGGCTCTTTTCCTCCTGTTTGTGAGCATGCGTTGGGTGTATTGTGGCCCTATTAGACAAAACCAACATTAAACTGGCAGTCCCTGCCAAGATTTTCATTAATAATTAAGGCCACTGGATACAATCCACAGTGAAAGTTCTGCAGAAGCACCACTAAATTGATTGAAAGTTGCATAGCCAAACTTTCCAGTAGCCTTTACACGATGATGGATGGAATTTAATTTTAAGGAAGGTTTTGATGCAGCTATGTGTAGCGTAGACTACCAAATGTACACCAAGGTTTGCTGTGATCTACTTGTTACTTTAGATCGGCATGATTTTCTCAAATCGTTTTGCCAGAATTATCACCCTCCTAATACAGAATGGTGTTTGCATCATAGTGTACCACACTAGCCTGGATAGCAGGTGCAGAGTGTTCCCCACTGCTGAGCAGTGTGTAACAAGAAGGCGGGTGTTTGCATAGAACAGCTGCTACCAGTAAGTGATAAGAGGGCAGGGGGTGTGTGATGCATTATATTGTCTTCTGTTCGTGTTTCTACTTCCACTTTGTGTTTCTTATATATTGGGTTTCCCTTGCTTAGAACTTGACTTCCTGCCGCTGTTTTTTTCTTCTTCCCACATCTGCTCCTTATTTCCATTTATATTTTCTTGCAGTTTACTATCATGTGAACTCTTCTTTGCTTCTACGGGACCTCATACATACCACTCCTATTTAACATCTTCCTGGCACTGCATCTATATATAGTTAGTGCTGTATTTTGATAGATTTTATTTTGTACCCATGGAATGTGACTGGAAGTACGTCTTTATTTGAGGTGACCATAGAAGTTTTGTAGATGAGCCTGTAAACTGTCCAGAATAAATGCTCAAAAAACAGTTGGAAAGTTCACTGAGCACTTCAGAAGAAGAGCAATAAATCAAGGGTAGTGCTAAGCAAGTACATTGGGTTTCTGAGGTCATACTGGAAAATATTCCCCTTACTGAAACCACTTGATGAATGAGTTAACAAGTAGCAGTTATAAGCTGTAGTTTAAGTGGACCCTTTTATACATTTCATTTGTTTTACTTCCATTGACCTCAATGGTTCTATTCTAGGATATGATTAAAGTCTAACTTTATATTGATGAGAAAAGAAAATCTGAGAACGATACTTATGTGAACAATTCTTCATTCTTATTAAATAGGTACAGAAATGACCAATATACACAAATAAGCCTTCATAGAAGTTAAGTCTGTATTTTCAATATTGCACTTAATTGGCTATGCTAGACATCAATTCCCATCATCCCCAGTCATGGACTTTTCATTGCTGTAGTCTACCAAAACTAGAAGGTCCAAGGCAGGAAAAGGCTGGTTTATTTAAATAAATTGAAGAAAAATGGTACATGGAAACTGGTAACACCAAAAAGTATTTGTAAGCACATGAAATTAATGTAAAATATTAACTTCTTATTATTCCCTTCTGTTCTATTGTACACGGCTAGTTTATAATACTCTGTAGCTATTTCTTGTCTTCCTTATTGTTAAGGAAGGACTTGCAAATTAGCATCTTTCAGAATTTTAAGACTTTTTGTGGGGCAGATCTACTTAATTATTCTTTCTGCTATAGACCTGTAATGAGGTACAGATTCACAGGTGAGATGGGTGGTGTAGAAATTTAATAAATAAAAATAAATAAATTAGAAAGTGGAATAAATATATTTGCTGCCATTTTAACAATCCTTTATTTATCCACATCAATGTTTCTCAATCCAGGCACACACTTTAAAATGTGTGGACTTCAACTCAGAATTTTGAGAGCTGAAATCCACACATTTTAAAGCTATTAAGGTTGAGAAACACTGATCTATGTATTAAAAGCCTATTTAATAGAGTTGCTCAGCACTTTGGATTGGATTGGATTTAGAGCACACAGGATTTACATAATTTGCCCCCGGGTGCAATTCTTTAAACTGCAAAATGCAGGATGCAGTAGCTTTAAAAAGCTATAGAGATGTGTTACATGGGATGTGTTCCGACAAAACTTTTTGACTGCTACTGAATCTGAAGTCCTGCTCGGTCTTAATGACTATACCATTTCTCTTAGTACTTTTCAAGAATCATAAAATGCTTCCAGAAGCTAACATCCAAGATAAACAAAGGGGATAAAATTGCACAAATATCAGGAGTTAGTGGCCCAGAACTGCCAACTTAAGGAAGTGGTTTAAAAAAAACAGAATGAGAACATTAGCATCGGGCTCTTTATGAGAGCTTCTGTGCTGGCGGACACTAAGAAGAATGAAGTAGTGGTATAAGGGAGTGGTAATGCAAAGTTTGCTTTTAAAGTTTAAATGCTAGCATTTTGCTGCTTCAAATCAGACATTTACCTGTCTGAAATTTTGTCTAAAGGTTCAAACTTCTTGTTTGTGAATGAAATCTTAGGTTTGTCAATCCTGCCTATTTTCTTCATACTCCTGTAGCCGGGTTGTCTTCGGCAGAGATTGAAGGACAAAGAGAGCTTGTTCAGTGCAGGCCGGTCCTGAATCTTAAAACTAGACATGTCCATTCAACCACGAAGGTTGCTGGGCACTGCCCATCAACCTTCTCAGTCTACAAAAGTTAAAGTGGGCTATTTTTCTTTGCTGTCATGCTTCATGTATAGTAACTAGCGTTTACAGAACTTAACTGTGTGTGAGAGAGAGGGGGGGGGGAGAGGGGGAGAGAGAGAGAGATGCTGCTCAAGAGCCAAGGTGGCGCAGTGGTTAAATGCAGCACTGCAGGCTACTTCAGCTGACTGCAGTTCTGCAGTTTGGCTGTTCAAATCTCACCGGCTCAGGGTTGACTCAGCCTTCCATCCTTCCGAGGTGGGTAAAATGAGGACCCGGATTGTTGTTGGGGGCAATATGCTGACTCTGTAAACCGCTTAGAGAGGGCTGGAAGCCCTATGAAGCGGTATATAAGTCTAACTGCTATTGCTATTGCTAATTCATTAATGCCTACAAAACTATTATCTCTTGAATAATCCAGCAAAAGAGAAAACTTATTGTCATATATCAGGAGAGAATTATTTTGCCATCCTATAGGATGTATTCTGGAGCCTCAGGTGGGGCTGAAGACACAGAACAGGGTTCATCACCCTTATTATAGTTTGTTAAACATGTATGTCACCTGACTCTCAATGATTTTGGGCAGCTCACCACAATCAAACACATTGCAATAA